CTTTACTTTAAAACTAACATAAGCCTGTCCTTTGCTGCCAAAAAGAATTCCTATACAATCTACATATCCTTCAGTAGGTCTGTGACATTTCCTGATTGGCTTAAGGACATGCCAATCAGTGATTGCCTTACCAGCCTACGTTGTTCTGATCCATTTTATAAGCTGTAATTTTCATTTTAAGATTAAAAATACTTTTGTGCATCAGAAAATTTTCAAATTTCACATGTGAAATCTTTATAATGTCCAGATAATTATCAAACATTTCTTAAGAAAAAACTTTATATTTTATCTGTTATTTTCAGTAACGAATCTCTGTATGGGTTTGCTCGATTTGACTGATCTCATAACCACGTTAAAAAAATTAGGAAATAAATATAAATTATGCTTTTTTTCATTCTAGAATGACTACAAATTATCAAATGAAAACATAAATGTTTAGACTAAATAGCTTAAATCTCATAACATTGTACATTTACATATATATTTATTATTTTTATTATATTGACCTTTTCAGCTATGCCTGGCTAACAGTACAGAAGTTACAATGACGTGGCGCATGTGCACTCATGTTACCGTGTCCAGTAATATAAAACTGACCTTTAGTCTTTACAAAGTGACCTGTCTTGGATGTGTTTTATTAGACTAGTATTTTGTAAAATACAGTTACATTTCAATTATTATACATTATACATGTATATAGATTATTGCTATTTAGAATTAAGTTCGTAAACTTATTTTTATTAAAACATAAAACAGTAAACAAAGAAGTAAAGCAAACAATTATTTCTTCCAGTTACAACCTTTGTACTCAGTTACTGCTTGACGTAGGTTGCTAGCTCTTTTAAAATTTCACACTTGGAGGATATGAAACGATATAATTTTTTAGGTTTAATATATACAGTTGAATAACCAAAAAATCATACATTACTATATCAGTACCATATAATTCCACTATAATTTATCAAGCTTAGTAACTAAGCTGTATTTGGCCCTAAAAGACATAACCTACCTCCTTGAAATATTGGAAGAAAGAAATGGCATCCAAACACATTAAAATGGCTGAGAAAGCTACTGGGGACATTCTGAGCTTCTGATTGGTTATTCATGTCATATATAGAAGTAAGTGTACATAAGGAACCATTTACAAAAATGGAAAGAGGTGGGCGGGGTGCCACTGTGTTTGATTTATTACATGTGCAATATCTTGGGAAATTGAAAGATAAGAGGCTCTTATTTTATATTCTAGCTTGTCAGTATCGGTAATTTGAGTTACTAATTTGTGCAAAACTAGAGACTTAGTATTTTCACATCACAAATGTCTAATTTGAACATGTGTTGCATTCAACATACCATGTGACACACAAAAATCGAATTTTAACTGTGTTTTTTTAATATTTACTTTTAAATTAAGAAATTGAGTAAAGTATAATATTAAAATTTGAATTATAATCTCCAGTTGGATACCAAACTTATTGACATAAATTCGAGAAATAATAGTTTAATAAAATTTTGAATACGAGTCAACAAACTAGATGACATGGTCTTTTACCCATGACCTTTCTTAAAGAGTTAAGACTATTTCTCTATTAATCATCACTATAAGTTATACCTGGAAGTCATGTAATTTTTTTATTTCATTAGCTGGCTAAGAGTTTTTTCAGGGGTAACCAGTTAGCCATACTGGCACATAGCAACAGATGGCTTATGAAATGTATCAATTTCTGGCCTTCTGATTTTTGTTTTCTATATCCTGTGTATGTAAATTTTAAGTTGTGCAAATGGCAATAAATATTTTGCTAACTTTTGTTCTTTAAAAAAAATATAAACTAAAGAACATTTTAAAGTTATCAGAATGTGTTACATTTAATATAAGTTTTGATTATACATTATACTCTTCAGTTCTTGTCCTTTTAATACAGTTGTTTTTATTTCTTTTTTGACAGCACATTTTGAAATGGTCTGCTACTATCTGTTATATTTTTTTCATGACTAACTAAGCAGTTAGGTCTAGCCCA